ACAAATGAATCCTCTCAAAAAAGCATTATAATAAGAACAAGATGTTGACATGGGTAATCCAGTGAATAATAAAAGCAATAATTTAGCTAAGCTATTCCAAGCTCAAATGATATACAATAGACTAACCTAAATAGAAATATTTATATGTCTGATTTGAAATCTAGAAATTCATAAGTATAAGCGAGAATAAGTAAAGTTCAAACAAAGAAATAAAGATTAGGTCAGTCTAACAAAAAGCCTAGCTAAGCTCTTAACAAGATGTCGACAAAGAAGATTGGATACCAAACTTCCTAAGTAATCTTTACATTTAGAAGATTCTGCCAAGCTAGACATGGTCATTCATTGAGTAAAGAAAAGAAGTTAAGGCATTTACATTGACAATATAAAAACTTAAGCAATAAAAATAAAAATAATAGCACATAATAATAAAACCACCGAGGTAGGAATAGCTATTCACATTCGTCCAACAAAAAAAAAAACATAATAGTTTAAGTTACTATTTACGTTGAATTTCATTTTTTTTGCTACTACTACTGCACTACCTCGATAATGACATCATCTTTAACGTAGTGTTTATAGTCTCTGTAGGTCTTTCACCATTTTTTAGTACTTAACTCCCGATCTACTCCTCGTCCTTGTTATCATCATCATCCTTATCTGCTCATTATCACTATCTTAATCCTATTGTCCTAAGGATAGATGATTTTGGAGTTGTCAATGAAGACCATAGAAAGGTTAAGGTAGTTGTATTAAAATTCATTTTGGCTAAGTTGAAAGCACTTCTAACATTGACCGCATTCACAGCTTTGGCAACAGTTTGGAACTCCTCAATTTCTTGAAATTTAGCCAAGGTAGCATTCACAGCATCATTAATCTATTATGGATATTTGAACTCGACCTCATCATGTTTATGCTTGAGCTCTTGGAACCTAGTCTAAAGTTCCCCTAGTTCGACTTCTTTCTTCTTTAGCTTAGCATTCTTCTCTTCTAGCTCCGACCTCACTTGGTCCAACTCGACTTTGAATGTGTCTTGCTTTGACTTAATGTTGTTATAAGCAATAGGAAACCTATCAAGCTTTTCTTTTTTAGCCTTAAATTTTTTCATACGACCCTCAACCTAGTCAGCATGAGCTAAAACATTATAGGCATAATGCCTAGCAAATTTGAATTATGTGATAAAGGTATGTTAAATTTTTTTCTATCTATGGTGTAAGAATAAAAGTAAGACAACAGTTTAAATCATAAGAAAAGAGCAATAAATAATAGCCCAAAAATCAAGCTCACTTACAAAAAGAACCATAAATAAAGTATTTTTTCAACAGAACCTTGTAAAGTCATAGGCACTCTCTTTTTCACCAATTTGAATTGTAAAAATGACTACCTTTGAGGTAACCTTGGTAGGAACCTCGACTAAAGGAAGAGATGGAGGGATATTTGCCACCTCAATAGAACATGGTAGTTTGGCAAGTTTGCGAGGTTGAACCTCGATTGAAGGAAAAGATGAAGGGATATTTGTTACCTCAGTAAGACAAGGTTGCTTGGTAGGTTTAGGAGGTTAAACCTCAAAAACTTCTTATTTTGAAAAGGATGGAGCTAGGGCAAAATGAATTGGAGGGACTTTAACCTAAATAGTTGATTTAAGATGAGTTTTGCTAGACAAGCCCTTATGTTTTCCTTTTTTCTTTTACTTTTACTTTACCTTTCGATGGGTTTGGCAAAGTCAAACACATTAAGGGTAGTAACTCATTGTTCATCCTGGTTAGCCTAGGAGCTTGACTAAACTTGATTCCCGGTGTTTCACATACTTGAAAATAAGTAAATCAACAAGAAGTGAGTACTAAGGAAAATAAAAAATAGACACCTAGGTTTAAGCTATTCCTAGGTGCCTTTATTTTTAAACCAACGCAAGGCCTTCACCTAAGTCAAATGATTTACATCTATAAAAAAAAAAATCCCTAGATTTCCTAATTTTATTGATCTTTTGAAAAGTATGGATGACCTCCATGGAGATAGAGTTATTCCCTTAATAATGGTTGATGAATTGACCTAGACTAGTTCGGACCTCTTATTCCTCATCCGGGGTACCATAAAATAAAAAAAATAATTTCAAGTCTTGATCAAGGCAAGAATTTTATCAACCAACTTTTTACTAGCCCAAGCTATAACTTAATACCAACTCTTTTCTCTAGGAAAGGCTTTTATAAGGAAGAAAATTCTAAATAGGTTAAGTGTTAAAGGTCGAGCTAAGCTTTTAACCAACACTATGAATCCTACAATGCTATGCCAAGCATTCAAGGTAAGATGAAAAAGAGCTAGCTCGTAGAAATTTATCATAGTCACAATGATGGGTGTAAAGTAAATCTTAGCTTGACCATCATGACATCCTTGTACACCCTTAGTTTATTTCTACCTTGGTGTTGAGTTATTCTATTGAAAAGGTGAAAAGACTCAATTAAATAATCCTTGAAAAGATCAAAATTATGCCTTTTAAAGACCTCATGGTTTCCAAAAGGTTACTAACTAAAAGAATATTACTGATCTGAGGTGAATCAACTTGAGCTTCATCATCGATCTGAGTTATGTCTTTTGCACCAAAATGGTTAGAGTCTTAGGATTTAGATCTAGGCACTATAGGGAGAAGAGAAAATGGAGGTTAAACAGTAATAGATAATGCCGGTTGGTTAGGACTAGCACCACGACTTGATACCAACACCTTTTGGGATTGAAAACCATTATAGAAAGCTTTTATGGTTGTATTTGGGCAAAGGCCAAAACAACTTATGGCCATTTAGCTATTCGTTTCGAGTGTTAAAACGACTTGGAATGGACTTTATATAATTAAGTTGAAAGTTAAAGTGGTGTTTAACTCAATTGAATGAGTTATGCTGGACAAAATCTTAGCCCCTAGGTATACTTTAGCCTTTAATCGAAAGTGGATTCAAGATAAGACATGGAAAAGAAAGACGTACCTAAATTTAGAAAAAAATGTACGAAACCAATGTGAAGAGTTTAAGGATAGGCTGAGATAAAGAATACTTGAAAATATGTGAAAGTATAAGGATGTCAAAAGGGAATACCTTATATTCCAATAGAATACCTAAAATCACCTTTAGAATACCTAAAACCCTTTATGGATACCTAAAACTCTCAAGAATACTTGAAATTCTCAAAGAACAAAAACCTTTTTAAAAAACTAATCGTGCATATTATGAAAGAAAAAGTGCAAGTATATATTGGAAAATGATGATCTTTCAACTTCTCAACCTAAAAAAATAATTAATGGCAAGCCATCGAGCTTGACATTCTCTTTCCTCAATAATTCACCTCGAAACTCACAACATGCTATGCAAAAATCTTCCCAAGACATGAAGTCGAAAAGAAAAATACTTGGAATACCAAAACACACCAAGAATAACTAGTTGGAATACCTCATCTAGATTAGCCTTACATCGACACTCACCTCCACATAGTTGATTGAGTTGGTTAACCTGACCGTCAAACCTAAAATCATCAATGGAAAAATGCATTTATTTTGCCCAAACAAACTTGGACCTATGCAAAGTTTAGATCATCGAGTAGGTTGACCTGACCATCAAACCTAAATACATTGATAGAAAAATGCATTTATTTTGCCTAAACAAACTTTAACCTACGCAAAGCTTAAATTATTTAGTCTTAACTATCAACTAGTTAATGGAAGGGATAGAATGTAGACATAATGAAATTCTATGGCAAAATAGTCATTTTAAGCCAAAGAAAACATTTGAAAAACCCAATGATATTTTGGTAATTTAGCTAACCTGACATAATTCCATTATTATGCCAAGTTGACATGGCTAGATCGTTATTAAGAAAGTGCATGGTCAAGATTCTTGGATCTGCACCTCTCATGTTGCTAACGTGGGCTTTCACTTTACTATTTGTGTGTTCAAATGTCTCGATTGGTCCACCTAAATCCATGTTGGCTAGACCTATTCCAAGTCGAATCCCACCAGCCACGTCATCCAAGTATAAATACCTCACATTCTCTCTCAAGTAAGGCTAGGCCATTCTTTTTAATTTTTTTTTCCTCTTGCTCTTTTCTAACTTAAGCGTTGAAATACAAATATCAAAGTCACCTTTGACCTTTGTCTTTGACCTTTCTTCTTTATTTACCTAGTGCCTACCCTCAAAACCACTTTTGGCTTAAACACTTATCAATTAAAATAGTTTGGAATGGAAACAAAACATAGTTGTTTCCCTATGAAAAAAAAAGAAAAAAGAAAAACCACTTAACAAAAAAAAAAGGAAAAAAAAATCTAAGCCTAAGATATCACTATGAATTTGAATCATGTTGGGGAGGTATAATTTCATATTTGGTTATTTTATATTTAAATTTTTTATGTTTAAACCATTTTAGATTCATATATTTTTAGATTCTAGAACCATATTCGAACTAGTTTAATTTATTTTAATTTTATGTAAAAATATTATTTTAGTTTATTTTCAAATTTTTTATTAGATTTAAGTTCAAAAAATTTTTATATTCTAATTATTTTAAATTCGATTTTTTAAGCTTGAATTAATTCAACTTTGATTTTTCAAATTTTAGTTTTAACTTTTTTTTTTTTTATCAAATCATGTTTGATAAGTATAAAATTTTTTAAACAAATTTTCAAGTTCAACTTCATTTTACCATGTGATCAAATATTTTGATCAAATATTTAGAAAGGATAATATCATAAATAATTTTTAAATTATAATGAATTATTCAATGTGATATTTGAGTTTTAAAAATTTTTATTATGAAATTTGAATTATGAATTTATTAATTAATTTTATACTTTAAAAATTATTTATCTATAATGTATTATCATTTAAAACTAATTATATTGAAAATAAATATTATATTATTAATAAATTTATAATTAAAATATTATATTAAAAAAATTTTAAATTCATAGATGAAATTAAATATTTTATTATAATTTAAAAACAGACATTATCTTATAAAAAAAATGTAAAAGCAAGCATATTAAATTAAAAAATGAAATCAGAAACAAACTATTTCTACAAGCTGACCCCACGACACATGGCCTTAATCTCCCACTTTTTAGCTTCTCCTGTTCTTTTCCTGCATAACGTTTCTTCTTATTGTTGTGTTTTATATATAAGAACCTCATCTCCTCTATTCTCTTCCCCCTCCAATCTATAAATAATATTACTACTTATTTCCTCAAATTCACTTACCAATCAAAACAAAATATTTCTAAAATTAAAGACAAAGATGGGATTACAAAGCCAGCTAAACGACGTGTCGTCGGATTCAATCCCGCTTCTTCTTGTAGCAGTAATCGCCAACTGCGTTGGCTGTGTCCGAAATCTGCTCCTCGATCTAATCCATTCGACCGGCCTCCTTCCTTGCCCAGACCAGACCACCACGACGGTCGATGACGTCGGAGTCCTAGGTTCGGGCCTCGCTAGCCTCCTCGTACTCGCCGAGCAGCTCAACTTAAACAAGGTTTCCTCGTACAGATATTGTGGCGGGGGAGGAAGGAGCTCTGATTGCATGGTGTGCTTGTGCAGGCTAAGAGATGGGGAGCAGGTGAGGAAACTCGATTGTTGCCACGTATTTCATAAGGATTGCTTTGATGGTTGGCTTGATCATCTCAATTTTAATTGCCCGCTTTGTCGATCCACTCTCAAAACCGATCAGCGCGTCGGTTTCACGCGGAGGCGCATCAGTGAGGATTTGCTTGCCTGGTTTTCTTTGCGGTGATTGGTTGGGTGACGATGATGATGGTTCCGCGTATGGTTTTGGTGATTCAGAATTTTACAGATTTTAGCTTTTTTCCCCTTTCTTCGGGACTGGATGGATTGGTAATTATCTTCTTTTTAAGTTTTGTTTTGACAGGGTCGGTTGGCAGTTTTGACCATGGACCTTCTAAAAACTATTTTTTTTTTAACTTTTTTTTTTCTTCTGGTGTTTTTGAAGGATTTTCTTTTTTCACTGCTGTAATTTTTATTCACTTGTATTTTTTACCACAATAAGAAAATAGTTATCTTTGTGTACAAATTATTATAGGTGGAGAAGCCAGTGGTTTATTTCCGTGTAGTAACAGTAAAAATGTTTTATAAAAGTGACCTGACTCCAAACCCGCGTCCTTATTATTTATTTTATTGCTTTTTTGGGTCAAATAAACTTAATTTTAACTACTAATTTTAATAAAATTATAAAAATAAACAAATTTTAAAAATAAGTTTTTTAAAGTTTTATTTTAAAGTTTTTGAATTTTTTTAATTGCAATTCAATATAATAATTAAAAAGTAATGATGAAGTTAAGTTTGTTTAATAAAAAAATCAAATATAAACGTACGAAATGGGATAAAAAATTATTATACTAGATTGTTTTTCTATCAAAATTTGATAATATTAATTTTATAAAATGATATATAAATTTTTTTGAATATTGAAAACATTCTTTTTCCAAATAAATTTTAGTTATAAAAAATATTCATAAAAAGGTCACCAAAATTAGTGACAAATAATGAATATTTGTTAATTACTTTTAAAGGTAGAAAGATGGGCAAACAATCTACAACATAACTTTACATGACTTAACAAATCATGGATCCTAGCACAACTTATATTGCTGTAATAATGTGTCGTGCCAAGTATGACTCTTAACCAATTTATTCATGAATTGACACGACACAATTCATGATAGATCGGAGGCTAGCATGTGACACTACTTATATTTTCATATCTCTATTTCTTTTCTTGCTCGCCACAATTTTAATTTTTTTAGATAACAAATTAATAATGATCGCATCATTTTTTAATATAATATAAGCATTAATAATACTTGAAAAATTTATTGTCTTCCGAGTTAACTAGTACTTTTAAAGTTTATTTATTCATATTGAAAATTTTTTCCCTTTCTCGTGGATATAGGCATTTTAAGCCAAATCACGTAAATAATGTATATAATTTTCTTGTACGTAAACACTTTGTTGAGAATTAAAGATATATGATACTTAAGTGCTATAAACTTGAAATAATAAGTAGAGAATACAAATCACTAAAGAGGCATTTTGTTCATGGAATGTAGGATTCTGATTGAAAAAGTAATTTTCTCAAATCACTTTACTTGACGGATTATGAGTAATAAAAGATTCAGGTGTTTGGTTTAGTATTGGAGAATGTAAGATTTCTATATTTGCTTCACAAAATCTAAGATTATCTAATAAATTCTATTACTATATTATCTTTAATGACATATGAATAACACGTGACATTTATAAACTTATTTAAATAAATAATTTATTTAATATTTTTATAATATATTTATTTAATTTGCAAACAATTTAATTAGAGTACTTTCTATATTTATATAAAGTGTAACTTACTTTATTTATTTGTAAATTATTTATATATGTAAGTATAACATGTACATTTAATATTTTATTATTTATTTAACATAAAAAATGATAATTGGAAGTTTTGAGCATAATGTTAAGTAATAAAACATGATAATTGTTTATTTCAAATATGATCTAATTTATATAAAGATGGCAACTGTTTCTATAATTGTAATCTAATTTATAAATAGTCAAAAGTCATTTTGCAACCATCATCTTATATTATCATAGTAGTAAACTTAGATATTTGGTATTTTCAAAAGTTATTTTTTACTTTTATTACCTTCGTAAAAACGACTTTTTTCTCTTTATAGTTTCTTCTCTACTCACTGACTATTCATCTCACTCTACATTTTTTCATTTGTTCACTATTTATTTTTTTGCGAGATTTTTTTGTCTCCTTCATCATTGTTGTCGCTACTATCTTGTTTAAGGTAAGAACTAATTTCATTGATTTGCGATATTAAAATCCAAAACAATAAGACATTATAGAGAACCATTAAATTATTGTTGGAGGGTTTTTTGAGTCATTGGGAAAGCACTATCACATAAATAAAATATTATTGTTAAATGTGTGTAACCTTAACAATATGTATATAATGTTTGGACATAGAATGAATGTTGATGAACCAAATAGAGATGAAATAGCACCAAAGAAAAGGAAATCAAGGGGACTTACAAATTGGCTAAATTGTATACACTTCTTTTTAGTATGAGATTAAAAAGGGAATTTTGCACAAAAGGCCAACCTATGAGTAGTGTCGAAGACAAGATGCAAAGCCATATTGATAGTGTTGTTTGAAAATCAATACATATTAGCATCGACCATTAGTCCAAAGTTTTAGATGACCAAAAACAAAAGATTTAGGAGTTGATGTTGATAAGTTATATTATTTAACGTAATAAGATTGATTTTTACTCATTGTACAATTTTTGAAATGTATTCTTTCTCTTTTGCTAAGAGCACTTTAAGGTAAGGGCAGCTCAAAAGGTTGTTGCCTTATAATCAACTGGTTAAAAATTTAGAAACTTAAAATGGAGATTAAAAAATAACTACATATGCCCTAATAGAGCCAACCCATAGATTTTGGCTCAATCCCATGTGTTATGAAGATATAATTTCTCAATCAAATTAGGATGCATTTGCTAATTCTTTGTTATCAGAAACATTTAAGGTATGCATAGCTATCTTTTTTATTGAAGAAATTTATTGAAGAGTATTTGTTATTCAAATCATTTTAGGGTTATTAATATGTAGTATTTCTTCATCATTTTTTGTGTAGAAACTAATGTAGACATCTAACTTTGTTTAGGCAAAATCTTGGCCATTTGTGAAACTTTTAAAATTTAATCTAGTTCAAATCCAATGTTTCTTCAATTTTGACAAGTTTTTAAAATCAAAATTTAGACCAATTTGACCCAAATACTCCAAAGTCAATTTTGGTCAAACATAGTCAAACTTGGCCAAATAAAGTCAAAATTAGTCAAACTTGATCAAAATGGGTCAAAATTGGTAAAAACATATAAAACTCACGTCAACTTTCAAAATTGACAATCAAATTAAAATCAATGTAGATTAAGATTGAAATTTATGATTTTTTAAAGCACTAAAATGTTTGATGGTATTTCAAAAAGTGTAAAATTACTAAAACATCTTTAGGAGTATTTTCGTAATTTAGCTTTTTCAAAGTTGAATTTTGTGAAAATTCAAGATCATAATTGAATTTTTTTAATGATTTTTGATGCATTGAAAACTCAGACCACAACTTAGGAGGTGTCAAATTACAAAAATACCTTTAGGGGTATTTTTGTAATTTGATCTTCCTAAGTTTGAAATTTCATAAAGCACTCCAAATCATGTTTTGATATTATTTGATGATTTTTAGGATTTTGAAAACCTTGATTGTACCTCAAGATGTGAAATTACCAAAATACCCTTTAGGGATAATATCGAAATTTAACCTTCCTAAGGTCAGATTTTCATGAAAATTTTTAGATTTTATTTTCATGATATTTCATAATCTTTGGTGCTTTAAAATCACAAAAATGAGCATGAGAACATTGATTTCCAAGGAAATAACCAAAGATCGAAAACTTTATATTAAGGGCAAAATAGTCTTTTCACTTGGTTTAATGGCTATAAAAATTCAACATTTATAGTGAACAATGTGGACCATTGGATCTCATGAGGAATCTTGATCCAATAGCTAAAGTTTGCTCCTTAGATTAAAAACAAGGGAGAAATTTTGGCCTTTGGATGATGTTTTGGTCTTATGGCCATAATTTAATCTTTCAAAGATATTTTCCACCATCTTCAAAACCATGAGGGAACGTTTGCTACATAAAAAATATAAAGGGAAAAAAGGTGAAATAGTGGAGAGAAAAACCAAATGGAAAAACGTGAAAAAAAAGAGAGAAAAAGATTTATTGTTTGCTTGCTTGAAGGTAGCCTTTCCCAACCTCCATCTTTGCATTTTTTTGCATCCTCATTACATTTTTCATTGCATTTTCATTATGTTTCATCCATTTATTTATTGATTTTCTTAAAGATTTTGGTTTATTTTCTTGTTCAAAGTTTAGATCAAACTTTATCCAATTAATCAATAGTTGGATTAAAGTTAGAAAATAAGCAAAGCAACACAAATTTACCATTGTAAAACCAAGTTGGAAGTAAGACGAACCTTTTCACCCATCGCTAAACCTTCTCTTGATTGAACCTTCCATATATGTTTTTTGTTTCTTTTACTAATATATGTTTCATCGAAGGTGTTTTTTCTATTTGTTAGTTTATGGTATAGTTTTGAAGTATGTGATGGTGTTTGGTTCATGTTCAACTTTTCCATATTTTCTTTAGTCTTTTTAGCTTACTTCATGCTGGATAAATGCTTTTTATAATTCAAATGTTTTTGTGTATGAGTGAGTAAGTAAATGATGCTTGTTTGGATGGAATAGAATGGAATCATGCTTAAGGAAACATCATGTAAGGTTCTACCATTATGCTCTTCTCCTTGGTTGAACCTTGTGTTTGGTTTAGTAAAGATTTGTTGCTTGATTCATGGTTGATGGATAATATTTTAGTTATAACTTTCAAGTTTTCAAGTGGTTAAATTAAATTTCTAATGAGAAAAGGTTGTTCCAGCAGGTGTTTTAGTGAAATGTGTTGTTGTTTGGTTGGTGCTTTTGTTTATGAGATTTTCTAGCTACTTTTGTTCATGAGATTTTCTAGCTACGTTGGTTCATTATGTGTTTTATGATATTCTTCTTAAGATTTCCAAGTGATTAATGCTTATTTGGATGAAGTGGGATGAAATGATGCTAGGGAGAAATGCTAGGTAGGTTCAGCCATGATGACATCCTTGTTTGGCAAACCTTGCTTCCTTGTTCTATGAATGATGGTTACTTTGATTCTTGTATTAGATTATGTTTTTATGAAGCTTGGCAAGTTTTTAACATATTTGAATAAAATTTTCAATGAAAAAAATGTTGTTTGATGGCTGTTTTTGGTTGACTTTTTAAGTTGTTTGGTTAGGTTTAAAGATGAAGAATGGTGGAACATCCAAACAAGTTTCAAAGTTTTTTTTCTATATATATATTTGATCCATTTTGGTTTTGAATTCTTATTCATAACATGTTTATAATTTAAGCTTGAAAATA